TCCCCCCCCCCCCCCCCGCCCCCATAGTAACAACTCCCTCCTTTTGCTCTTCAGGTCTGGGAGTTGTAACGGCTTCCTGTAATGTGAACCACCTGGGTCCCATCCCAGCTCTGTTCGCAGGTCCCAGACTGGGCAAAGGAGATGCTTTCCTCCACAAAGCAGGTTCCAAGGGTGCCGGGGGTATGTACCAAGGCCTCACTGCCCTCTGGCGGTCAGCTCCTGAAAATGCACCTCAGGGATCCAACCTCAGCTGAACTCAGCCCACTGGGCACTGGTGCTGAGCCCATTTCACTCCTGAGCACGTTTCACCCAGGGGTTACTGTCCCCACTTTGCAGCGGAGAGCCTCTCCATTGCCCTTAGTATAAACCAAAATCTTGACCATGGGCTACAAGGTCCCGTCTTTGCCTCCGCTCCTGTCACTCTCTGACCCAGCCACGGCAGCCTTTCCTCAGATCCTAGGGTGTTTCCACCTGCGGCTCCCAATCAGAACATGTGGGCACTCCCTGAAACCTCCTTCACCCGGTTAACCTCAGCTCATCCTGTAGTTCTATCCATCACTTAGGAAAGTCCTCCTCGTCACCCCTTCCTCCCCTCACTGTCATTCACAGACACACACACACACACACACACACACACACACACGGTTCACAGCTGTATTCCTGGTGCTGGACTCGCAGTAATAACCACACCAGCCCCTGACATGGATTAAGTGTTTCTCTGTGCCAGCCATTGAGCCAAGTCCTTCGGGGCTCTGGGCCACCCTCCTCCCACAAGTCCCTGGTCCCCAGGGAGCAGCCCTCGACTCTATCAAAAACTCACACGGATTTATTAGAATATGAAAAAGATTCGGTTTCTTCTGTACAGGCGGCAGAGCGGCAGCAGCTGTGGCGGCTTTGAACATGGTTGTCAACGTCACCCTTGCATGGTGACTCCTGCCCAAAACAGCACTTACATGGAGAGGAGCGGGGACAGATGAACACCCACTGCCCAGTCCATTGGGAAGGGGGACGCTCTGACTATTGCACAACCCTGGGGAAAGGAGTACCCTTGGGAGGACAGGCACCAGTAGGCCCGGGCCTGGCCCATGGTGGCAGTGGGAGTAGGAGTGTGTGCCTGTGAGCAAAGGCCTCTGGGGACCCAGGACTCAGCCCACCCACCAGCCCTGGCCAGTGGGAGATGCTCAGGGGAGGCCCCTCCCCTGAGGACGGGGCTCCACAGCAAGCTGGGTACAGTGCTTTTATAAGAGAGGTTCCAGGGGCCAATGGGGGAGGGGACAGGGATGAGAGAAAACAGGCCACAGCGGGAACTGAGGGTCAGGCCCAAGAGAAGGAAGGTGCCAGGAGGCCCGGCATCTGTGAGTTAGACAAAACCATGATTAGGGTGGGTATGTGAGCGGGTGAGGTCATTTCCGAAATCAGAGCCCTGGGGACAGAGGACTGTTTTGGGGGAGAGTGTTGGGCAGACAGGCACAAATGAGGATGGGTAATGCTCCAGAGTAGGATGGCTGGAGCTCTGTTCAGCTAGAGGTTTTCAAAAATGTTTTAAAAACAGGAA